ATAGTCATCGAAAAGGTTTCGGTGCAGAATCTCATCACACGCCTTACAAAGGGTTGCAGAGAAATCTGCAGTGTACCATATGGTAGCTCCTTGCAAGCCGCTTGGCAAATCATGACGCTTTCTCATGCAATTGACATCTCTTCTCAACTACTGGCACAAAGTCGGCTCTTTTCACCTGCTGGTTCAAAGAGTCCCTGGTGTGTGCTTGGTATGCCATTGTTTGGCATCAGCACTGAGCTGAAAGACGAAGAGCTCGAAGACGTCAAGCAAAAACAAAAAAGATCGCGCCAGAGTGCTGACACTTAAGCCATCAAGTTCAAAAAATGATCCACGACAGGGTGTTGACACTCAAGCTATCAAGTCTGCTCGAAATCTGCTAAAACTCACTTCCACAAGAGACCCCTCAAAGGCCGGAAGGCTCATGGCCCCTTGAAGCTGCGCCATGTTGTGGCATCCACTTCAAAGAGATAAAATCGCATCTCTTCTCAACTACTGGCACAAAGTCGGCTCTTTTCACCTGCTGGTTCAAAGAGTCCCTGGTGTGTGCTTGCTATGCCATTGTTTGGCATCAGCACTGAGCTGAAAGACGAAGAGCTCGAAGACGTCAAGCAAAAACAAAAAAGATCGCGCCAGAGTGCTGACACTTAAAAGAAACTTCAATGAGGAAAGGGTGCACATTGAGATTGGGTGCACACCACTCTGCTGACACCCACTGGCCTGACCCAATCATGTCGAGGAGACCTTACTAGTTTAGTGATATTATTTTGATAGTTTCTGGATTTATGGTCATTCCTTTAATCCAGCTATATTAAGATAATGGTGTTTAAAATCCAATGGTTCCAAGTGGTCATAAAAACAAGTTTATGGTTCTGGGATGATATCACCGTGAATTCCTGTGCAAAGTGGAGGATGTTGCAATAAAACCCAAATGGTTTATTCCCATCAAATCAAAATCAGGGAATTTTGGTCTTAACCCCATGTAACCCCAGTATTCCCAATTCCCCTCACCCTACAATGCGGAACCGCCCCCGGCGGCTGGCTTGCTGCTTGCTGGATCCACATCCTTCTGGCAGCAGGCAGGGACCTGTTTGACTTCTTTCCGGGCTTTGGTCATGCCTTTGTTTTGCGCAGCTGCACATGTTGTGCCACACAGTTCCTCAAACTGTGAATGGGTAAATCCTACTCATGGTAGCTGTCACGGGATTTGATCTGCAACCAAATTCCACTGAATGTTGGAAATCACAGAACTATTTGTTTCAAGTTTCAACCAAAAAGTTGGCAATAGAAAATAGATGGATATTTGAATATGAATATGAATATTTTATGTATATGAGTACTTATGAATATGAATATGAAAATAGATGGAAATAGTCATTTGCCGTGCTCAGCAATTGTATCAAAATTCTCAGCATCTAGGCTAAGGAAACCCATGCCCTTCAGCCACCTCACCAAATCATCCAGTGGCCGCCACCTGCATGGAAGTGCAGGTCGGTTTGATTTTTAATATACTAAAAACTGGGAATTGTAAGGGTCAATTTCGATACCAGTTTGTTCCCCACCTGCCAGGTGAGGGTTGTTAGATTTTATCAAAGTTGTTCTTCTCCTCCTTCTCCTCCTTCTCCTCCTCCTCGTTCTCCTCCACCACCTCTGCCTCCACTTCCATGTCCACTTCCGCCTTGCCAACTCTTCGCCAAGCTCTTCGCCAACTTCCGCACGCAGTGGCCACTGCTGGACCTCAACTGCAAGGGTCTGAGCACACTGGGCACCGCTGGACCTCAACCTGGGAGCTTCCGAGCTCAGTGAGCACCGCTGGACCTCCACCTGGGACCCTCCGAGCTCAGTGAGCACGGCTGGACCTCAACCAGGGACCCTCTGGACTTCAACCTGGGACCCTCCGAGCTCAGTGAGCACCGCTGGACCTCAACGGCCAGATAGAATGCCAGAAGATATGCCAGATAGAACGCCAGATAGCATGTCAGATAGAATGCCAGAAGATATGCCAGATAAAATGCCAGAAGATATGCCAGATAGAATGCCAGAAGGTATGCCAGATAGAATGTCAGATGATATGCCAGATAAAGTGCCAGAATGTTTGCCAGATAGAATGCCAGAAGATTTGCCAGATAGAATGCCAGATAAGATGCCAGAAGATATGCCAGAAGATATGCCAGATAGAATGCCAGAAGATATGCCAGAAAATATGCCAGATATGCCAGATAGAATGTCAGATAGAATGTCAGATGGTATGCCAGATAAAGTGCCAGAATGTTTGCCAAAATAGAATGCCAGAAGATTTGCCAGATAGAATGCCAGATGGGATGTCAGAAGATATGCCAGAAGATATGCCAGATAGAATGCCAGATAATATGCCAGAACATATGCCAGATAGAATGCCAGAAGATATGCCAGATAGAATGCCAGATCGAATGCCAGAAAATATGTCAGATAGAATGCCAGAAGATTTGCCCAGAATATTCAACTAATACCCTTCCCATTTGGAATTTTTGGGTGCGACAACCAGGCCTCCAAGGGTTTCTTGGGTTCGAGTTTCATGTTCTGGGCCAAGACCACATAAGGCTTCATCAATTTGAGCGACTGGTCGATCTTTTCGTAGCGATAGCGAAACACTGGCTGAATGAAAGTAGATTTCTTCAGGGCACCCACAGTGCTTCGGAAGACTGACTTGCCTGTGATAACCCTCTTATTTTTCTTGGCTGCGGCCTCCCCCCCCCATCACGGTCATTATCCAAGAACTTGAACACCATAGGCTTGGTAAGTTTGACACGAAAGGTATCACGGCCAGAATCATCAGCCATGCGCTCCACCTCTGTGTAACGCACCTTGTGGGCATTCACCTTGAAGGTTCGCTCCACCAGCACCAAAAGTTGGTACAGGGTCATGACGGGGCTTGCTGTGGAATCCTTGCGGATCGAAGCTTCTTCAACTTGAACTTTTGTTTTGTCACCCAATTCATAAGCCAATGGGAGGCCCTGCACACCGTCAGCATTGGGGATATACTGCCCCATCCCAAATCCTCCAAGCTGTTGCCCTTTGCTAAGCTGCCGGGCTGTGTCAGAACACAAAAGTACCTGGCCAGATTTGGTAGTCAAAATCTTCACCCCAGGGAATATCACTTTGCACTTCGTGCACCAAGTTGCTCTTGATCTCCTCCATGCTTTCAAATTGGCGAGGCTTGGGATCTTCAGCGTTTGGCGGACGATCTGGTTCATCCTCATCCTCAACCACCTCAGGCCGCTGGACTGGGTTGGTGGGGCCAGAGGTTGCACCACCACTTCCAGAACCGCCACCTTGAACCTTGACCACTGACGCCAAAGCATCTTTGTAGCGACCATGGTGGGTGTTCTTCAATTGTTCAAATTGCTCACTGGTAGATGCCAAAGAGGACCATTTTCTCTCCTCATCAGTGTTGATCACAAAGGAGCACCCCCTCCGAACTAAGACCTCAAACTCCAGTTTGTCAGCAGACTGTAGCACAGCTTCATGACCAGGGATTTGCTTGAGCTCCTGTTCCGTGAGAGGAGGAACACTTGAATCGAATTTCAGCCCAGCATAGGTCATCTCATTGTTGAGCCATTTGTCCGTCAACATCCGGCAAACCCTAGCCTTCCCAAAGTCACTGGAATCCAAGGTGTGGCAGGAAATGTAGAAGAGGTTCTGCTTTTGGACTGGAAACTTCTCCAGGTTCTCCACACTTCCATCCCGGTAGTTGGTTACCTGAGACGTTTGAAAGACCAAATCAGAAAGAACATGATGTTTTGTTAGAAACGGCAAATGGGCCCCACCATAAACAAAGGCTATCCCAGGCATTTTTGAAGTTGGAAAGGTCCATTGGGATAATCTAAGTGTTTGGAATCAATCTTTGCAATCGCAACTTTAACCAGTAACATGTTTTTGCAAATTCAGGACCCCAAACAAGGTAAAACATCATTTGAATGTGGTTTTCACGGGACCCGCGGTAATTGAAGACTAGAGTGGGTATGACAAAACATTCTTTTCACAAAATATATAGTATCAAGAACAAAGTAGTCAAAATTACATATGTCAAATATCACCATCCTACTAACCCTCCTCTTCTCCATCGTCATCCATCAAAGCCATCATCATCCCCACCATCATGAGCACCATCAGCGTCATCACCAACATCATTATCATCACCATCATCGTCATCATCACCATCAATACCATCAATACCCTCATCCTCAGCTTCACCATCAAGATTTTCATGAAACCAAGGCACTGGTCAGAATCAATGTCAAGACCATCATCAACACTAATATCATCATCATCACCACCATCGTAATCACCATCATCATCACCATCTTCATCACCATCAGCATCATCACCATCATCATCGTCATCTTCATCATTGCCATCTTCAAGATATCATTAATCATTGTCACCGCCGTCATCATCGTCATCACCACCATCACCATCATCATCGTCATCATCATCATCATCATCATGATCATCATCACCATGTTCATCGTCAGCCATTCTTCCCTATACCTGTCTACTAAGACCACCATCATCACCACCATCATCATCACCATCATTGCCACCATCACCACCGTCTTCATCATCAACATAATAATAATCATAATCATCATCATCATCGTCATCATCGTCATCATCATCATGATCATCATCATCACCATCATCATCATTATCATCATCATCAATCAATCAATCTATCAAAACCACAACCACGTTCACCACTACCTTTATCATTATCCTCATCTTGTTTTCCATCATCATCATCATGATCATCATCATCATCACCAGCATCATCATCATCATCATCTTCTTCTTCATCTTCATCTTCATCACTTCGATCATGATCCTCCTCAAGGCTATTACTACCATCAACCGACCTCATACATTTTCATAGTCAATCTTCACAATCAATACCACCATCTTCCCAACATTTACCCACATTTGGGGGGCTTAGGGCAACATGTGTGATATGAAAGTTTTTTGTCCAACACCGCTGATCCGGTCGTAGCTGGAGATCGCTGCCGGCATGCTGGGAGCCACAAGAATGCCACTGTGTGGCACGTAAACCTTTTTTCAAAATTGGGCGCCTGAATGGCCTAAATGCCCAGGGAATCCACAACTCTATTCATCAGCCACAAAGCCTAAAGCCTGTGCTGCTTTGAAGGACCTGTACTCATAACCATCAGGGTGGTAGTAAACGTAGTACTTGCCAGGCTGGTTGCCAAATCGACTGTAGGTACGCACCTTCAAAGGAATAACCCTCTGAAAACAAACCCTCCTTTTAAACCATTTGACCCCAAAAGGTTGAAGGTATTTAAGGATAATGCGAATGATACCCATCATGCTAATGACACCCATCATTTGGAGACCTGAATAAATTGAGAAAAATGATGGCAATTTCTGGTCTATGGGCCTCCCAGCCACACTTGTGGATGTGCGAGGTGAACTTCGGAGCGTCGGAGCCAGACTTGGAAGGTGCCTTGACAGGGCTTGGGCTAGTGAGACACTTTTTTTGGAATAAAATTTCAACACATATGTTGAATCTAAGTCTATAGCCTATATATTAGATACTCTTGACTCTTGAAAGTTTGTTCCCCTGCCTTCGCAGCTGGTCGCTTGAATGGAGTTCTGGGAGAGGAGGAAGCTGTGTCCTTCTTCTGCTTGTTCTTGGTCTCTGGGGTCTTTGTATGCCTTGGAACCTTTGGTGGTGGCGCCTCGCTCGGGTCAGGAACATAGGAGCGTGGAACTCCATTCTCTAACATTGCTTCCTGTTGGCTCGTGAGGCTGTCCAGCTTGACCGGGTGATCCATGTTGTGAAACTGAATCCACAAAGCCTTCTTCACACTCTCATCAGCTGGAACCTCCGCTGCAGCGGCCTTTGCTGCAGGCCTCTTGAGGACTCGTTCAGGGCATGGAGAAGAGGTCTTTGGAGAGTGCGATCTTGGACTTGGACTGGGTTTTGCCTTTGAGCTGGCAGCTCTGCTTGGGGTCTTGTCTCCTCCGTCCATGTCCTTTGTCTTCCCTTCTTCTTTCGAACCCCCAGTGTTGTCATCCTGCTGGTTGTTCTGAGTTGCACGTCTCGCTGGGCGACCACGTCCTCGGCCACGACCACGGGTGGTTGTTCTTCCCCTTCTTGTTGAAGTAGCTGGTTTCTTGATGGCCTTGTCGGTCTCAGGTTCCTCTTCGCTTGCAGCCAAGATTTCCCCCACAGAGGTTGCACGAGGAAGAGCTGGGTTGCTAGTCACTGGGTCCTTGTTCTTGTCATCCTGCTTGTGTTCCCGTTCTGCATGGAAAGTAGGCTGAGTAGGCGAAGCATGAGCGGCATCAACATGACTTCCATGAGAAGCTTGGTTTGCTGGAGGGGCTGCATCTGAAAGCCGCACCCGCACCATATCCACAACGATGCTGGACGTATCCATTTGACAAATTAGACTGGACCAGGCCAGTCTAGAAAAAACTTTGATCCCAAGAGGACTACAATAAATCCAGCAATGTTGTGAAAATAATTGAGATGATCCAAGTTTTAAATGTATTCCATTATGGTTTTTACATGCAGATTGCCAACACTGAATTGCTGTCAAGTTGCCACAGTTGCAAGATCTTCGATGTACCCAGTTAGGTTGACAATGAGAAGAGGACGCTCACCAAAGTCCAACCCCTTGATGCACGAAATCAAGATGGAGGTGTAGTTGTCCACGCCCTTCTGGGCCATCATGGTCTCTTTGCCTGGTCGGGTTCGCTCGGAGAGCTTCAAGTCATCGTCGGCTGAAAGGCCTTCTGGGATGATAACTTGGCTTGTCTTTGGAATGACATGCTTCTTGCCATAGCACTGCATGGGACGACCAGTCACCGCAAGCTCACTATCTTGGAGCCATGGGCTGTGGTCAACTGCATCTGTGTGAACAGCAATGCGACCAGAGGTCCACCTTCTCAACTGGCTCATTGCGTTGGCTCTGTCTTCCACTTCAAAGGTGCTGTTGGGCCCACAGATTCTGTTGAATCTGAAACTCTTCATCAGCTAAGCCCCTGGCACATGATGATCTTGCCAAATCCGGCAAGAGCAACAAGGTTGCATTGCGTGACTTGTTGATGGCATTCAAGCTGGCCGCTGTCTTCGCAAGGTTTTGGCTGTTCTCAGTTCCACGGGCATGTGGGGTATTGTAGTCGATGAAGCCGAGGACCGTGACGTCTTCGAAGTTGCACTCACACTTGGCTGCCTAGATTGGACAGTTACTCCATGAACATGACGGAACATGACTTTTGAACATTTGGAATGCATGGTAGTGAAGATGTCTAAATTTTGGAGCTCATGGAAGTGAGGACAATAATTTATTGAAACTTGTTGGAAAATCTTGATTGAGATGAGCCTAAGGTACAATATACACCTGGCAAAATCGCTTGTCTCTTTGACGATCGCTGCAGTGTTCTTGCTGTCATTGACCCACCCTCAACAGCTGTCACAGCTTTGCTTTCCTGATTCTTTCGGTGTGCCACTGCCTTCAAATGTTGAAGTTCCTTGATCTTCCTTGGGGCCTTCTGTACCTGGACAATCTTCTCCTGGTCGTTGCTCAGGGCCTCAACGAAGAAGGACCATTGGGAAGCTTGAACTTCAACTCGCTTGGTCTCCAAGTGCATGCTCTTGCGTTGCTCCTTTTCCTCCTCGGATTTCTGTGCTTGTGCCTTTTTGCTAGGCAGCATTGAGATGGCAAACACCTCTGGGCGATGGGTCATGATGTGTTGAAGGTCTTGGCACCCTTGGTAGGTCTCCAGCTTGTTCTGCATGCTTGCCACTTCATCGCCAGATAGCTTGGTCAGCAGAAAAGGCTTGAGCTGGCCAAACAGTGCACAACAGTTGCGGTAGGGAACCAGGACGTCGGCTTGGGCTCTGTACTTTTTCTTTTTCTCCATGGGCACCACTGCGGAATCTACTTCGAATCGGGCCACTATGTGTTTGAACAGAATCTCTTGCGCTTCATTGCCAAGAGGAAGCTGCCAATCGATTGAAACCGATTGTTCTCCATCAAGAGGGGCCAATGAGCCTGGCTCAGACTGAAGAGACACCATGGACTGGGTGAAGAGAGCATTGAGTTGGGCGAGCTGTTCCCCAAATGGCCCTTGGGTAAATGGTATGGTGTGCTGGCTCTGCTCCACCACATGTTGGGCTCCCTCGCAACCATTTTCCAACCAGTTCTGGATGGCTTTGCTCTTCTTCTTGTCGATTGGTGGGTCCTCGCCCTTGTGGAAGCTCAGGACATCTGGGTGTGAGTTGTACCGCTGGATTGCCTCGCTGAAGGTGATGGGGTTTCCTTCTGTGGCAAGCGATCTCAAAATCGTGCTCCATGTGTAGCTAGTCACTGGTTGAACTCTTGAGTCGCCATCCTGCTTGGCTACATTGGCAATGATGTTGTCCGCACGGCTGAGTGTGGCCTTGCTCTTGAACATGGTAGGGATTGCGCTGAGGCTGTCGATCAGGGATTGTCCTTGTTCATCCAAGTCATCCTTTGACACACTGGTTTCCAAGCTGATGAGGCAACACCAGGTGATAAACGCCCCAAGACCCTTGTGGCTACCATCATCGAAGAGTAGCTCCCCAAGACCACAAGTCACCGTATCATCAGGTAGCCGCATTCCAAACACTTCACCCTGCAGGGATATAGTTATGAAAATTGTAAGCCCAACACATGGCTCCTTTATCCCATATTTTGGGTGTTTGTTCACGTCATTGGAATTTTGGGACTCCTTCTTCAAGAATAAAATGAAATCTTTAATCTGGATTGAGCCCTTTACTAAACGCAAAAGATGGTCATTCAAGTTCCCCAATTTCAGAAAGCCCAGACTCCCAAATGGTAAACAAGCTGGCAGGCAAACATTTGGAATTTCTGGAAGCCAGTTCGGGGGCTGCGGCGAGAAATTCCACCCCCAAACATTCCGGCGAGAAATCCTCATGGGGACTGCGGCGAGCTACTCTGAGAGGAGCTCTCCATTCTAAACCCTCACTGGCGAGACATTTGGCTTGGGTATGTTTGGGAGAAGGTCAAATAAGTAGCCAAAATCTATCTTGTCAAAGTTGGACATTTTGGAGAGCTCCTCTGGGAGGAGGTCTCCACAGGAAAATTCTTTCCCCTTTATATGTACCAACCCCCTTTATATAGTATATATATATATATATGGTATATATATATATGGTAAAATTTTGGGATTCCTTGTAATAGCAATTCATACTTGTGGGCGGCGACCTCCTCCCAGAGGAGGTCTCCAAAATCCTGGCTTGAGTCCTATGGTCATTTCGGCGAGATATCTGACATTCGGGCACCAGGCCTCTCTGATCTTGGTTTGGGCAATTCCCAGAGTCACCCAGTAAACCTCACTCATGGGGACGAAGCCTTTCCAGAATGATTGGTTTGCCATGGACCAACTCAGGATGTGCGTCTCAAAGGTGCTGCCAACATCCGGCGGCCACACCTAGGAGTTTGGTTCTGTGTGTTTCAAACAGATATGAAGTTGTCGAAAAACAGATTGCGTTTTCATACTCTAGAGTTCTAATAAACTGTGAAGCTAATGGGTTGGCAGGAGCATCAATAGATTAGGTCACTTAGCAGAAACGGTTGAAGGAATCATCAAATACAATCTATATAATTCCATTTAGTTCTAGGCACTGCTGTCGTGGTCATTCCAGCCACAAATCTATCGCGAGTCATGGAATCATCAAGGTAGCCGATCTTCTGGAGAAATTTGAAGCTCTTGTCAATGAGCTTGACACCCCCATCATCAGACCAAGCTCGTTGGGCAACTTCTAGGAAAGTACCACCATGTAGCAGGGGCCACTGAAGGGGTTCAGGATCTGTTGTTCCCTCTTTGGCAAACCTTCGATTGTAAAGATCTTGGACCAGGTCAGCTGCCCTGCGGTTCAGCGTGCCTACTTGCTCCACATTCTGGGCAGGCGTCGCTGGGGCAGCTGCAGCTTTCCTTTTGCCACGTTTCGCCATGGGCAGGGACCTGGGGCCTCTACCTCTAGGAAAATTTTGGAAACAAATCACCTGCGTAAAGATAGATCGTGTGAGACTTGTAAAATGTTTCTAAAGACATTGCTCGTGCACAACACAGATGGCAACCAGCAAAATTGTGTTTTTTGTCTGCAATCAGGTGAAATTCAAATCTAATCTCTGATGTCGATCAGAAATTACAGGACTTGAGCGATCTAATGAAAACGCTAAAGTAACCTGAACGATCCAAATTAGTGCCCAATCTGTTCCAGATCTTAGGCATCGTCGTTGCAGGGATTCCACACAGCCAGGGCTGCCAAAAAAGCAGCTGATATGACTGGCACAGCAAACCTGGGCGGACAGTAACATCTTTGGATAATGTTTACTAGTGTTTGTAACTGCATCACTTGAGTTGAACATTTATTTGCCAAGCATTTTGAGGATGGAACGAATTGCCTGCTCTGCTCTTGATTTGGTTGATTGTGAAGTTCTCTGCCAACTTAAATGTGTGGATATCTTCTAATCAAATCCCTTGAGAAAGAAGGAACTCCTGGCTGGGAAATCAAAACATATCACAACGGCGTGGTATATTGCTTCAAAGTTTTCACTCCCTGCAACTGCCCCCAAACCAGGAGTGAATGGCTCGTCCTCTGCAGTGCGAAGTCGCCACTTGGACGTCCAAAAGAACTTGCCACCGGGTGTAGTGCAAGGGGCGATGCCAGTGTTCTTCAGGACACCCCCACGCCCAAAGTTCTGGTCCTGGGAAGTTTGTTTTATATTGGGATATTTAGGGATGTATTGATTGAATGCCATGGGTCAATGAACAGAGATGCCTTGAAAACCATCTTTAACAGGGTGTCCAAAACATCCCACAAAAATTCAGAAAGGGGGTAAGCTTGTCTACATGGACACTGTGTCAAGGATAAGTTCTGGACCGCCTGAATATGCCAACATAATTTGTTTGACAATCATTGGAAACCTAAGGTTGGTACGACCTGCAGTAATACTGGCTTGGACTCATAGTCTACCCCCTCGTCAATGAGATAGCACAGCAACGTGGCCATTCTAGCACATTCCCGTTCTGAAAGCTTCAGGCTCATGTCCCGATTGATAGATTCAACCCGCTGTAGCAACTGCTTGACCCGTACCTCATGATGAGAAGAACCATTGAAAGAGGAACAGATGTGTTGTGATGACTAATTAATTTATTTGCTGGTTTTATCAAGGAATTGTTTCAGAATTGTTGATATAATGCAAAAGTGGGCTAAGTATGGGACCTTCCCAAGTTTCGAAGATTCGGCATCGAACCCTTGTCGCCACTTCTCACCACTGCGGCCCTCCCCATCTCGGCTGCACCCTTGAAACCCTGTTCGTGAATCGCAACAAACACTTTGAAGGGGAAGCGGGGAACACTTGAAGTTGTTCCAAAGGTCCATGATCTCTGTTTCAGTCTTGCAGCAGCATTCCCTAGTAAGAACCCAAATCATGTAGCACCTGGGACGGTTCTGGGGCAGTCCAAAGTCTGCAGCATTGCAGATGCTGTGGGTCACTGTGTAGCCCTCCTTTTTCGCAAATTGGACCAAGTTTTCAATAGGTGGTTCATAATCGTTTTGCTTCACTGTTTTCAAGCAACACAACTTTGGGATGATGTTTGCGAACATACTTCTTCAAGGCAACAAACCCTGAAGCCGTTTGCCCACATTGTTCGCCATTCGATGGGAAGATTGGTGCCGGGGTAGGATTCAGAGAGGATAAATCCACACACGGAAGCCCCAGCGTAAAGATATCGACCTTAAGGGAACAAGGTCGAATTGAACTTGATAATAACAAGTGAATAAGAACATGAAGAAATATGGGTGTGCCTCAAAATAAGGTGTCCTTTTTGGTCCCCAAAATGATACTTTAAAGATTAAACAAGGGCAACTCATTTTGAGACATCCCCATATTTCTCAAACCCTCGATTCAAGGTTCTGTACAATTGGAACTGAACCAATTGAAACTTGTTCAAGCCCATTGGGAATTGCTTCCCCCAAAGATTAGCTTAACCCATTGGAACCTTTTGACGTCATGACCCTGCCTCGGGGGCAGCCTCAATCTGTTGGGTTTCCACATTCAAGCATTTGTTGGGGATGCCATTGAAATCATCATAGATCTTCACCCCTGGCCAACGCCTCTGAGCAAACTTCTGGTTCGGAAGGTTATTGTCACACATGAAGACGGTTTTCACCTAAGCAGATTGGCTGGCTAGAGTGGGCCCCAAATCTCCTTAGCCCTAGACTGTGGAAAAACACAATAGCTGTTAACCATCCATGTTGTTCATACTGAGTCAAAGGCTGGAAAGCATTTTCCGGTCAAACGATGCCACACCGATTGGAAGGTTTCCACAACCATCTCAAACACACCAATCCCAGAAGAAAGGGAGCCAACAGTGATGGAACGGCCAAGTTGGGACACGGTGTCAAAGAGGTTGTCCAACTTGTCAATCAGAACTGGCTGCATGTCCAGCTGATATTCCAAGAAACCCGCAACCTTAGTTCTTAGTTTCAGGTTGACTTATTTCGATTGAATTAAGATGGTCTTTGCAAAACAATCCAAACAATGAAAGCCAAAAAATCAAAGGCAAGCAGCTGATACCGTTTTGACATCACATTGTGGCAAAGGGTTTGAGCTACTAGGCTGATCCCCTGGTGCTTCTACATCACTTTCCTCAAAGATGAATCCAGACTCAGACCCAGGGGCTCCCATTCGCATTACTGGCGTCCCTGCTCTCATCCACATCAGGTTCAGGCCTAGGAGAAGCGATAATCGAGACTAGGAACCTTTTCTTCAAATGATCTGATGTGCATTTTATATACCTTTTCTAGCTTTGATTTGCAAATTTTCAAATGTCCCCATGATGTCAAACACCATGGCATTGGGGATGCTTCATCAAGATGTCTCCAACTATAAATTTGGATGAGTTTAGGGAATGAGATGGACTGAATGCCTGCACCTGCTGAGGGCTGGGCTCACTCTCCGGAAACGTCTCTGGCTCTTCGTTCTTCTCAGTCCTGGTGCGATGGAGGCCGGCCGGTGCTGTTTGTATGGGGATGGATGGATGGGAAGGAGGCTGGTCTACTAGAATCATTAGTTAGAACATGTTAGAACTTCGAATCATTCAAAGTTGATCACAGGTCGACCTTTTTTCCCTCTCCATGTCTTTCAGCCGTCCAAGGTAATAGGCAGCGCTTCATCTGGGTCAGACTCATCAGCTTCATCTTGGATATTTGTTTCCCCAGAGACTTGAAACTTGATATGGCGCTGTCTAGTGGGGGGTTCCCAAGTGGCAGTTGCCAGTGGAAAAGACACTCCTGGGCATTTATACGTAAGCAAAGCATGGAGTGCCGGAGGAGGCAAACTTGGTAACTGCCCCTCGCACCATTGAAGAAGAAATGTTTCAGCATCTTCACTGATGTCTCCCGATGCTTTGCATCTTGGAGCATAGGCTCTCAAATTCTTTTGAATTTGTTGACCAATAGGACGCTTTTGGGCTAGGTCCTTGGGACCTGGGTTGAGGTACTGTGCCATAGCTGACACTTGATCTGCAGGAAACAAGGCGATGACATGGGAGTAACTTTGGTCAGCTAGCCATTTTTTGCAAACCAACATCACATCTAGGCCGCTTCTAGGCTCTCCGTCAGAAAAGTCGTCAATGGGAGTAAACTCCATGCTCTGATTGTGTCCAGGCAGTGCCTGGGACAAGTCCTGCCGCAAGCAGAACCTCAAGTAGTGGACATGTCCTCAGTTGGCATGGGCTGGTGGTCACTTACGTATATCATGGTCTTAAAACCAGGAAGTCAGCCCCATGAAAACCAACAGTAAAAGGTAGGTAGATTTGAGAAGTAAGTTAAATTATTTCCAGCTATGGCTCTCAAACCTTTCAACTTGACCCGGAGTGCTGAAGTCCATGATTTCCAGTCCATAGTTTCGTCAAGCTGGACGGCTTTTGCATGTAAACCCTGGGTTCTAAACTTTGTGCCCTGCGGACGTTCTTCCCACACATTGTTCACAAGGTTGACAATGTCCTTGGGGGTGTCAAAAGTCGCTGTTGATATGATCTTAGAAAGCTGTCCGAAGAAGGCATCCAAGTCATCATGGCCTAAGATGGTTTACATGGGTAACTTTGAAACAACTTGGGGGATCAAAGCATTTTGAAAACAATCTTAACCCCAATGGATAAATAATCTTAACCTCAATGGACAAATAATCTTAACCTCAATGGACCATGAATAAGTAGGTTTTAACCTTTTAACCTCAATTGATAAATAATCTTAACCTCAATCCAGGGGGCTATGACCCGATCGTAAAAATCCAGCGCTTACCCAGCGAAAACATCCTCTCAGGAGTGGGGTCAGCAAGAATGCCATGAAATAGGCATTTTTGCCTTCCCTGTATGTATTGTCGATTTGTATGTGCAATCCCAACGGCAATTGGTTCCCACATCTTTCTAGGGCTTCCCCCAAACATAGGGTAACCACTTCACATTGGGTGTTTGAATCTTTTCTGGTGTCATCACAGCTCACATACAGGGAAAGGAGGAGCCCGTGTAGCCAAGCCCCTACCACATGCACTGCAGGTCGGTACAACTGCGCCATCAGCTTTGAGGGGCTGCGCCGGGTCCTTGGCAGTCTAAATTTGCTCTGGTCCATTCCATCCACCGCAAGAGTTACGATGGAATTTGCCAAACTCGTTGCCAAAAACCTTAGGCTACAGCCGGCATTGGTGCAACTTCAACGGGTTAGACATGACAGGGTAGAACAACAGATTAAAAATCAAAAAACATTGGTTTTCCCTACAGGACTAAGTAACCGCTGTCCAAACTCCAGCCAACTTCTGAATGTTGCAGCTGACAAAGATCTCACGCCCCAATAATATTGTCTATCCAACCATTGGGACAGAAGGTGGTTTGCATAGATCTGTTGGACCTCACTTTTCCTTTCTTTGTCGCGTGCTCTTTTTGATTC